CGCGCCGCCACGTCCGTGGTGTCCCAGCGCGGGAGAGGGGCGAGCGCGAGCCGCCGGCCTCAGACCCGGAGCGTGGAACGGGCCCTGCCGCCGGCAGAGCTCCCCGAGGCTGATCCCACCCCGCCAAACTCAGAGCACTTGCTCCTGGCTTGTGCTGAGCTCCACAGTCTGCTGCTCCCCTCGCCTGGAAAAGGGGTTGGTGGTCTCAGAGGCTCCGTGTTTTCCGCCTGTATCAATTGCTTTGACAGAAGCSTACTACCCCGATCAGCCTGCAAGATGACTTCACCTCCTTGTGTCCTCTCCTTCTTCTTCCCCATGAACCAAAGTACACACACAGGAAAAAGAAACCTGGGAAACCTGGGAAAAGAGGGGAGAGAGCTCCTAGAAAAAGGCCCATCTCCTTTTCTGGGAATGGATTTTGTAGGAGCTGGAGGCGAAGCTCGCAGCCCATCGGCATTGCCCACTAGCAGGGAACGTTGTGCAGGCTCCACCACCACAACGGGCGCRGGAGAGCCTTCTGTATGGGCCTGCATGCAGGTTAATGCATGTAAACGGTGATAAGCATCACGACCACCTCTTCCTTAGGGATTGATCCCTGTCTGCCTCGTGCAGTGTGCAGGCACCGCTGCGTGTCCCAGTGCCCCAAACGCCCCACGCTGCCCCAAGGGCACCTTTTGTCCCTCCTCCAACCCTGCGCGTGGATGGGAAGCGCAAAGGGACTCCAAGGGGATGATGGCAAAAGAAATTGTGGTGCCTTTGATTTTAGTGGTATGGAAAAACATTGATTCACACTTTGGTGCAGCACATTCAGGTGGTAATGAACTGTTAAAAATACGCAGCATTGCTCGGAGCCCTTTCAGCTTAAACCAGAGCTGCTAAAATGTGTGTGTGTGTGTATGTGTGTGTGTGTGTGTGTGAGAGAGAAGGAGAGGGGAGGTGACTGCTTAGGAAGGGCACTTAAGTTTCTTGCAAGTGTTTGCAGTTTTCCACGTAGAAAGGAATATCAGTGGCCAAGTTCTTATTTACAAATATGTTAAAATACAATCTTCATTTAGAGCAGGAGTCGCAGCCTTTTGTTATACCAGTTCTGTGGACTGGTTGTGTTTTTGTTGGGAGCCTATATTCTCAGGTGAATTTTTTCATTACTTTAAAAAACTTACTTGGAAATAGGGCAGAATCGCAACTAATGAAAATAGTGGGAAATCGCCCAAGCGGTAGGTGTTTCAGAACCACGTGGCTGGGTTTTGGGAATAGCTTTGGGAATTGCTGTTCGTCAGTAAGGAAGGTGTCCGTGACTAAGGACACGGTCGTGCTGGGTGCAGGACTCCCACGTTCCTGAGGTCTGCGTGTCGCTCTCGGGTGCTTGTTGCCCCTGCAGCATCGCTGTGGTGGTGSTTGGTCCCTCGCTGACAGGGGACGTAGCGACCCAGGCGTTGGCCTGGTTCGGGGTCCGCTTTCTTGGCGTGAGGCTGCTGGAGGTGGGTGCTGTCTCCCTTGAACTTGTTTCACTCCAGATTTGCAAGCCGGGTTTTCCCTCCTTAGCTCTGGTTGGCTGCACTGTAGTAGCCTCGCTGCTTTATTTCTTTTAATAAATCTTGTCCTAGTGACTGGGCCTGCAGTATCTTAAAACAGCAATGAAAAACTCAGGGTATGGAAAAAGATGAATAATATCTTACAATTTGAAGGAAACCATCGTTACAGCATACAAAGTCATGGTTCTTCCACATCTTGAACTCTGTATGCAGTTTTCCTTCCTCCATCTTGGAAAGGATGTATTGGGAGAGGAAGAAGTACACTGGAGGACATCCAGTGGAATTGGAGAGATGGGAAAGAGTCTAAGGAATGCTGGTGTTGGCCTGAAAAAATGAAGGAATCCAGGGAAGATGCCATGAAGTGCATGCAAAAGGAGAGCAAGGAATGACCATTCAGTCACCTTTAAAACAAGCTTACCCCGGGTACTCAGTGAAATGCATCGTCTTTAAAGCAGAGGAAAGGACTTTCTTCTGCTTTAAAGCACAAGAAAGCARCACTAGTGGTAGTGACATTGTGGAGGTCCTTATAGGAGCGTGTGAAGGACAAAATTGACYGGACAAATCTGTGGCTGTTTCTCTAGCTAAAGAAATCCTTGGTTTCTGTAAAGGGGACTAGTTGGGGAAGAGACAGCTGGCTGTATTTGCATCCTGCTGTTCACACTCTTCCCTAAGCATTTTTAAAGGTTTGCATAGAAGATGGATATTGATGAGAAGGGTGAATGTCTGGTTTCACTAAGTGAGGCAGTTCTTTTTTTACAGAGGTTGTTTTTAAAAGAACCTTTTACAGAGGTTTTTAAAGAGCCTCTGTTCAAATTCACCCAGCTACTGGGTGAATTTGCCTGCTGCGGCCCGGCCCACGTGGACCTTCCTGCTGGTGTTTAAGGTACCAGGTGCCCCGGGGGGTTGGACACGCTGTGACGTGGTGCAGCTGCCCCCGCCGGCTCCGCACAGCCTGGTTCCAGCCGGCAGCAGGTTGGGCCATAAAGGTAATGGTTACGGTCTCCTCGTGCCCTGCGAGGTCGCGCCTCGGCACGGGCGGCCCGAGGTCCCGTTAGCTCCTGGTGACCTCCCCTCCGTGTAGGCAGCTGTTCACGTAGCTGCAGAGGGGCAGTTACCACGTGGCAGGATCCCTGAGGTGAGGCACTGCTTGACCTCCCTCTCATGCTCCCTCAGTAGCTGCTTTCCAAATGACTGCTGCCACTGCTTGCTTTTTTGGTAAGGTTTCCCACGGCATTACATAAAGAAGTGTGAACAATCTACTAGGAAACTGAATTAAATAGAAATATATTGATAAGGTGGTGGTGAGGGGAAATCTAGTCCAGTCAGCCTTTAAAGGACCTATATTTTCTTGCCTGCTCTCACTTAGCATTCATTATCATTGCTCATTAATATTACTTTTTTTGTCGCTGAAACACTGAGCAAATGGGTGAGTCCAGAAAGCAGCGTCTGCTTTTATTAAAGCTTGGGAGGAGCTCGCTCGCTTCCACCCAGTGTAATCACAGGCTCACAGAACGGTTGAGGTTGGAAGGGACCTCTAGGGATCATCCAGTCCAACCCCCTGCTCCAGCAGGGACACCCAGAGCACGGGGCACAGGGCGGCATCCAGGTGGCTTTGGAAGATCTCCAGAGAAGGAGACTCCACAGCCTCMCTGGGCAGCCTGTGCCAGGGCTCTGTCACCCTCACAGGGAAGTTGTTCCTCCTCGCATGGAGATGGTCGCTCCACAGCTGCACCTTCCTCAAACAGAAATAAAACAAAAAAGAAAAGCCGTTTAGCCCCTCTTTTCCAGGCAGCGTGGCAGGGAGCACTGCTGCCTCCAGCCCTCTGCTCGGGGCTGCATGCCTGGCCATGGGTCCATGGGGCGGGCTGTGGGGCACGGAGCTTGGGTGCGTGTCTGTGGTGGGGAAGCAGAGGCGCCCGGCAGCGCAGCCCCGCTCTGCGGAAAAGRCCGGCGCGGTCCTGGGCGCCCCGAGGAAGGAGCCAGGGCCGCGGCTCCTCCTCCGCACCGGCGTGCGCTTGGGAATACGGGTCCTCGCCCTTCTCTTTGCTTTCCGCCTCGTGCTCCTGGGCAGTAGCAAAGGTTGCAGCAAGCGGAGCGTGAGCCAGAGCCTGCGGCCCCCGCCCCGTTCCGCCCTCCCTGCCCTCCCTCCGCGCTGGAGCCCAGCACCGGCCCCGGCAGGAGGACGGACGGAGCCTTCCCGGCGCTCGGTTTGCGCTCTGTTTGCCGGGCCCGGCGGTGCCGCTCGCCATCCCGGCCGGGCCGCAGGACCCGCGGGGGGCGGCGGGACCTGCCCCATGCGCGGGCGCCCCGAGCGCGGCCTCGCGGCTCCGCGGCCGCGCTCCTGGGGCTGGGGCTGCGCGCCGCCCTCGCCGCCCCCACTGCCCCCCGGTACGTGGGGCCGGCACCGGCCACGGCGCTGGGATCCTGCTGCGTGCGCGGCCCTTCCGCGAGGGAGGAGTCGGGAGCTGCGGCGGCCGGCGCTGGAGCCGGGGCCGCGGGAGCTGGTGCCGTGGGGCGGGAGCAGGAGCCGCGGGAGCTGGTGCAGGGCTGGAGTGGGTGCTGCAGGAGCTGGTGCTTTGGGGGTGGAGGAGGAGCCATGGGAGCTGCTGTGGGGCTGGAGCAGGAGCCATGGGAGCTGCTGTGGGGCTGGAGTGGGCACCATGGGAGCCGGGGCGGCAGTTGGCCCAGGAGCCGTGTCTGAGCCGTGCGCGTTGCAGAGCTGCTGGCACAGCCGGGAGTCGAGGGGCAGGGGCTGCCGGAGGCAGCGGTGCCGGAGC